GTTAATTATATATCATCATTTCTTTCTCCACCATGATCAATTGTTAACTATCCATTGTAGTCTGCTGAAATCTGAAAAACCCCAACAACTTTCTCACAACTTGAGTTTGAGCTCAAAGCTTTTCAATAATGGCCCATTCAACAATATTAATGAAGTTAATAAGCTCACAAATAATTATGAAAATATTTTTATTTTCTAGACTAATTATGTAAACTGTTAACTTGAATATAAATTAACGAACTAAGAAAAACAATGTACTAATTAAGCTGATGGTATCGTCTTTCCTTTAATTTTTTTTTTGCATATTTATATAGTATTGAAAAAAAAATTAAAATGTTCTGTAATTATTTTTTAAAAAATTAACTAAGAATGCTAGCTTCATTATGTCGCGAACATAATTATTTTTTTTATTTAAATATATTTTTAATCCCTCAAATTTAAGGTAAATTTATTTTTAGTCCCTGTAATTTTAAAAAATCTTATTTTAGTCTTTATATTCAAATTTTGTTGAAAAATTTATCAAACATTATTGCATAAAATCTACCTATTGATGTCTCTATTAGTGAAAATATCACATTTAATCCGGTTGATATTGCATAACTGTCTTAATTAGTCATTTTTAAATATGTTATTGGTGATCTAAAGAACTAAAATAAGATTTTTAAAAATTATAGGAACTAAAAACAACAATTTTAAATTTAAGAAATAAAAATAAATTTATCTTAAATTTAAGAGACTAAAAATATATTTAAGCCTTATTATTATTATTTTTTTTAGAAAGTATTTGTGATCTTACAAATTAAAAGAAAATGATTGACCTTGGGAGAAAACCAAGAGTACATGGATTTGAATATAATTATATGATGGTGACAAAATAAACATGTGCACTTAAAAACTACACATAACGACAAACCCTTACCCCACGTAGCCCCACCCTTGCTCTGTTCATTGTGCCTCACATCAAAAGCAAAGGATGCTAAACTTTTACACACTATTTAATTAAAATAAAGTATTTATTTATAGATTATAAAAAAAGTAAAAGTGAGAAAATTATGAAACTAATCAAAATTAAAATAGTGTCTGAGAATTTGTGTACGAGAGAGAAAGAAAGGGAAAAAAGGAATGAACTAAAAGGGATGAAATGAGATTGAGAATCCCAATAAACTAAAAGCCACTATTCAGAAGAGGTAGTTAGGGTTTAGGGGTGACGTATCCGATCAATGGGACACAAAATCAGAAAGGAAAAAAGTATGCTCTTGAGGGCTCACTTGTTATTTTGGTAATTAATTAATAGAAAGCTTTAGCAATAGCATGCTTTCTTTTCACACACACACCTTCCCTTTAGATGTTCACATTGAGTTTTTATTTTTTATTTTTTTATTTTTCATATAAACACTGTAGTTTTCTGAATTTTTCTGTGAATAAGTTGTGGGAGATGACAAATAATAATGTAACATGAAAAAAATTCAAATCCTTATTTTTTTTTTGTTCTTGGAGTATCCAAGATCGACAGCAGTGACTAATCTCCTCGTTACGAGAGAGACACTTCAAAGGGTGGGATAGCTGACCTCAAGATTTAACGCGGCTACATACACAAGACAGGATTTCGAACTCCTAACCTTGTTTAAGCGTAGATCAACCCCTACCACTGAATCACACACTTGGGATTAAATCCTTGTTTGATACTACTTTTTATTTATTATTGACATGCTAAAAATTATTATCTCATTGGTTTGAATAAAAATAAGTTTAGATTTCTTATGTAATCAAGAAAAATCATATTAAAGATGATAGATATTAGTCATTGATAATTAATATTGTTTTATCTGCATTAAATATATCCTTAAATGATAATTAAAATATTTAAAAACTTGTTTGAATAAATTTTTTAGAAGACTTTAGAGAATAAAATAAGGAGTAAAAATGAAATATATTTTGTTATAAATAAAAATTAAATTATGTATAAGTTAATTTTGTAGGAAATTCTTTATATTAGCTTTCCCATAAACTAATGTATAAAACTAGTTTTAATTTATAAAAAAATATTTTATTTTATTTTTTCTATTGAATATACTTTTAAAAATTTTATTTAAATATACCTTAATTTCTTTTGAAACATACAGATAATGAGTTTTGTTTGTCCTAATTAATAACATTTTCTCTACGTACATACTCTAATATCTAACTCTCCTTGTCAAATTTATAAAAAGTATGTTTGGTAAAACATTTCAAGAATTTATAAGTTAATTTGATAAAAATAACTTATTTGTATATGCTTATTTTAAGAGTTTATAACTTATTTTCATGCTAGTTGAAGTAGCTTATACCTTATAAGTTTTTAACTTTTTTTTCTAACTCTTTTTATCCTCGTTAATTTACTTAAAATCCTTTTTTACTTTTTTTTTTTTAGTTTAGAAACTATTTTATCCTTTTATTCTCTCACTCTTATTATAAAATATCATTTCACGTCATTTTACATTTATCAATTACATTGTAAGTTAATTTTACCAAACAATTTCAAATCAATTAGCTAACTTATAAGCTTTTAACTTTTCAACTCTAAGCTTATAATTTGTAAGTTTTTAACTAACTTATAATTTAATTTCACCAAATAGAAAAACTATGTTAAGAATTATTGGTAGTCAACAGATATTTTGCACCAATAACACAATAAAAAAAAATATAAACCATATTATTTTCCATCATTATTAAGCTATTAAACTTTTTTTTATATTGAATATAGCTTTAATATAATATTACCAGAATTAATAAATTTGCTAACTTGTAAGCAAATATATAAAATTAAAGGAAACTATACATCATTATTTAAAAATAAAATTAGTCAAAATCGTAACATTTTTAATTTAAAAATTTAATTAGTACAAATATTTTACATAGTCAATCAATTAACAACCATATTAAATATATCTTTTAAAATCAAAAGTTATTAGTTTAAGTTATTTAGTGATTGTATTTCTTGACTAAGGATTGAGGTTTGATTCTTGAATTAGATATGAAGTCCCAATTGAATGTACCATTTTATGCTATAGCTAGTGATGGATTTAAGGCAATAGAATAGTGGGTGCAACTTTTTTTTTAAAATAAAAATTAATAATAATCATCATCATAAATACAAAAAATAAAATACAAATGTTTGGAAAAAAAATTATTAGTAGGTTCAATATATAAAATTAGGGGTGTAAAATATAATATTTTTAAACATACACTAATAATTTAATTAAAGTAAAAGGATGTATTTGTTTACTCTCACTATAATATGTAAGTTTGTCCTTACCTATAGGAGATTGATATAGTGGGAAGGATTTATACTTCTTTGTCAAATACTACCTCTAGTCTTAATTATAAGCACAATAATTAGTTTTTATGGTTATACAAAACTGTACAAGGTTGGCCTAATGGTCGGGGAGTTAAGGTAGTATGCATAAGTTTACTTTAGGGGAATTGAGTAGTATACATAGAATTTTAGGCTCTAAACTTAATGCTGTCGTTCTAATTCCAATGAATAAAAAAATAGTTATTTGGGATTAAATTTCTTTTATACCTGTACCAAAATAAAAATAAAAATCTTTGATACACTTCATTTATTGTTAACTCTATTTCTTATAAATTCTCTTATAACTATCATTAAACATAACAATTACTTAAAGTAAAGGGTATATTAGAATTGAACTTGCATTTTTTTTTTAGAATTAATCAAAAGTAACCATATTAATTATTATTATTTTTATATTACTTATAAGGGTAGTAATGAAGGGTAAATGATTTAGACCATTAGAGTTAATCTAATGGTTGAAGAAAGGTGTTGAGATAATAGAAGTATGGAGTCTTATTAGTTTTTGATACTTTTTATTTATTTATAATTTTATATTATATTAACTTTTTATTTTGTTATTTTAAATATAAGCTTGTTATATTTAATAGACACTATTGTATTTTAAATATTTAAAACATATGAAATGATATTTTATTTTATTTTTAAGAGTTAAAACATTATTGTAATATATTTATTTAATATTATTTTATCTATTATTATTATTATTATTGTTTTATTAATTCTAATAATAAAATCAATAACTTTTAAATATTTTTACAAATGTTCATAGAATCTTGAGACTTATCTTAATTATAATAAAGTTTTAAGAATTAACTTATCTAAACTTTTCTATATATAAAAAATGAAATAAAAATCAACAATCTTATTATACATAATAATTTATTATATCATAATATTATAACATAAATATATTTTAAATTCTCAATTTTTTTATCATAAAAAATTTAACTAATTGATAGACATATTTTTTACTTTTCTCTATATTTAATTTCTTTATAATAATCAAATTTATTTTATAAGATCAATAAGTTAACTGACACGTCGTTGCTGTAAGTACAATTAAACTTAGAATCTTTAAATGGAAATTTAATTTTTTTTTTACAATAACGACAATAAAGTTATAATATAAAATATCGTACATATTACTCTAATTTTTACCGATAACTACCTCGAGTGATTACAAGTATAAAAATACGTAATTTTATACTTATTTTATACTAATAATATGATTAAAGAAATATGATCAACATATTATAATCATTTTATGTGTGATTTGAATCATTAGATTAATATAGTTGTAGAAAGTTAAAACAATATATTCAAGATCCTAAATTCAGATCCTATTGCGGTAATTATAATTCTTACATGTATATAAAAACTTAATGTATGATTTTTAAAGAAATTAAATAAAGATCTACTAGTCAACTTAAATTTTTTACGTTTCTTTACCTTCATTTAGGACGATAATAAATAAAATGACATCATAATAATTATTGTGAAAATAAATAAATTTATCATTCATATTCAAAACAATTAATTATAAATTTTAATAGTATTAATAATTTTAATTAAATTTAATAACCAAATCCAGAAACTGGTATTTTCAAAATTAAAAAATAAAAAGAAAGAAAAAAACCCACACAGCACAAGCAAAGGCCAAGCAGTAGTAGCTAAAGCCAAAGCCTATGCTATTCCAAACACCACCTCCACTCTCTCTCTCTCTCTCTCTCTCTCTGCTGTGTGATGATTCATTTCTAAACCCTAATTCTCCTTGTTTTCATACCTGCTTCATCGTTTTTTAAGCAATTTCCGGGCATTGAATAAATGGGTTTTTGTCCATTTCCATTTTTCTGAAACAGCGTACTCTCAAAAATATCTGATCACATTTCTGCTTCTGCAAATTCTGCGTTTTTTTTTTTTTCCCTTCTTTCTGGGTGTGTGTAGAACAAGGGAATCTCTTCGATTCCTTGTGTTTCTCTTCCATTTCCGGTCTCAAAACATTAGCTTTTGGACTTTCAGTGTTGCAAATTGTTGAGGGTTTTTGTGGGGTGGTGGCTTTGATTTCCATGGCTGCGGTTGCTGAGATTCCCGCTGATGCCAACAAAATGGACTCAAAACCTAAGGCTGAATCTGAATTCAGTGTTCAGAAGCTGGTTGACATGTTCACAAAGTTGAATCCTTTGGCGAAGGAGTTTTTCCCTTCATCATATTCTCCCAATCATGATCATCGCCTTCAGGGCTTTAATCAGCTCTCACCAACCCACTTTCTGGTCAGCACTAAGCCCTCTGCTGACGATAATTTCCCAAACAATCGAAGGGTAGGATTGTTCTGCCTTTGATCTCTCATTTCTAGTTTTAGTGTGGGTTTTTGCATGGTTAGGTCATGAATTTTGTGTATTAAAATTTGTTAATTAATTGAAATTTTCCTGTGACAATTTTCTTGGCTGGTATGGACAGAAATTTTAATCAATTTAGTGAAGGACTGTGTAAGGGAAACCTAGTAGCAATAGCTGTTGACCCAGAAAGGAAAAATAAAAGAAATCATGAAGGAAACTTCCAATTGCAAAATCTAAAAGAAAAGGCACCATAGCAGAATGTCAATCTTGCTTTGAAACAGAAAATCCCAGTATTAATTGAAGTGGCAAGTTCTTTGTGTCTACAATTGTAAATTGGCCTGAAATGGATTGAGTCTGGATGGATGTTTTTCCATGTTAAAATTCTGTATTTTGTGTTTATTGAATTCATGGTTTTGAATTATGGTCGGCAACTACAATTGTGACTGAAATATTGCACATGCGAAGGTTTTTGAAACTGCATTGTGATCACAATTGTTGCTGCATTTGCCTGCAACTTCCTACAATTTCAGTAATCAACCACAATTTAAATCCATGATTACTTTTGTGCTTATTTTGTTTCCATGGGCGAATTCTTTTTTTCTCTTTACAATTTACATTATAGTTTAGGATATCTTTCAGATTCTGTGTTGCTACATACATACAACTTTGGTCATGTCTGTTGTCTATCCTCATGTTGTATAATTAACTCCAAATTGATCATATGACACATATAATACTACAATGGGCCTATAACACATTTTGTGAAGATTGCAGTTTCTGTTGAAATGAATATGATGATATCATTGAAGTAGCATTTTCCATGCAAATTAATTCTGATGAGAATCACATTTACTGAAAATTTGCACTTTTGTCATCTTGCAGAGAAGAAATGGTTTTAACCAAGGGAGGAGAAGGTTGAGTGGAAGATCACTAAAGGCTCAGAGAGAAGATAGCATTAGAAGAACAGTATATGTTTCTGATATTGATCAGCATGTAAGTGAATTGAGAATGGTGTGAATAATATGTCTTGTTGTAGTTTGTTTAGTGTTCCATGTAAGGTGTATTGATGAGTTTTATGTTGGTTGCTGAGGGTCTAACACAACCCTCCTTCTTTACCCAGATTTGGGACTTACTATGATTTGGTTTTTAATTGAGTCGAATGGCATCATGTGATCCATGTAGCCGATCTCACCTAGTGTGATAATGCTTTGTTGTTGTAGTTTTTTAAGTGTTCCATTCTGATCACAGAAAACGGAATTATTTGAACAGTCTTTTCTCCTGGTGTAGGTGACTGAGGAGCGACTTGCAGCCTTATTCAGCAGTTGTGGGCAAGTAAGTTATGAGCCGTGATCGATGGCTTGATTTGTCTCTCTTTTTAATTTGCAGTTAGGTGCAAATATTACATTGGTTAATAAACTTAAACTAGTGTACTTGTTTGCAGTATTTTAATTTTGTCTGTGAAATTTTGTTCTGATTGTCATTTGTCACCATTATCTTTTTTATGGTTACCACCTAGTTTCATTGTCATTTATTTTTAATTTCTGCAAATCCTAGGTTACTGGAATTTCTTTTTCCCTTCCATTGTGCCGTATATCAGGCGTCGTCAACATATTCCTTTTCTAACACTTTCCTTTTGTGAAATTTTAGCTCTGTACTTTCCTCACATTTGGATGCATCATGCATGGATCAGACATGTTACTTGAAATGAACTCTTCACTCCATTTAATGCATGATTTTTTCTGTCATTTTCTTGAGTCAGCTATCCAAAAAACTTCTTTCTCTTTCTCATGTTTCAATTTACATTATGAGGTTTTGGATGCTGTTAATGCTACATTTTTCACACGTAAACCCATTAAATTCATTTGGACCTGATATAGCAAGATCATAGAATTGATATGAAGTTTTTGCCTTACAAAATAAATGCCTCTGGCTTGTTTGGAAATATTTCACTGGATGAAATTATTATCTAGAAAAATAAAAATCAGCCCTTGTAAATGGTATATTTGTACATTCTCTGAAAACATGTATATAACTGGTTTATGATATTAGCAAGAAGTTTCAAATCCCTACTAAAATGGAATTTGTTAATCTGTTCATCTGAAGGAATCATAATTATTTATTGCTTTCGCTGACCTTCTTAATCCGAGCATGATTCCTTTTGAGTTTGTGTTCATATATTTATCTTTTCTGGTTATGTAGAATTAAGAATTCCAGCACTTGAAGGATCGTGTTATTAAAATAGGTAGAGGAAGACCAAAGAAAACTTTGGTATTTGATAGTGCCCAGTGATTTTGTTGATCCATGGCAGAGTAGTTAATTTCATGTGTTTTTCCCCCATTGGAATGAATGTTGGGTTCAAAACTCTTCATCCTTTGAAGAATGTGTTCCTTTGCTCTATCCATCTATGGAAGTTGATACATTTTCTGGAAAATCACACGCATCTTTCAGTAGCACACCATAACTTTCAGCTGCCCTAACATGTTTTCTGGATTCCATTTAACCTCTGTTGTGTCTTCTCCTTCTTGAGTCTTGACAATGGTCATAGTTCATGCTCACCGCACAAGCCAATCTTTGTTTTTTGCTGCAACTTCTTCCATGATTCCATCCCGTTTTTCTTTTTTGCCGAGACTAATTCTTTGTGCATCTGTAGTTCTGTTTCTCTTTGCTTTTGATTGTTAATTCTGTCCTTTCTTTGGTGCAGCCATGACATTGTCATGGTCACATCTAATCCAACAGAGCACCTCAGCCTCAACTTTAGATTGATGATCATTGTTTCTAGACTAGTCACATAAGTCATAGTCACTTCTGATTATCAAATTATTAATGATGACACATCTTTAATTTTTTTTAGCATTTATATTTGTATAAATTACAATTTTTTTTCCCATGGTCTTCGGTATAGCTTCCATCTGCCAACCTACTCTTCGATCATTCAGTTGTTGGGTTGTCCATTCCATGCTGTGCTATCCAGGATTGACTATGTTTGACCCCACCCCATGGGATAAGGCTTGGTTGCTGTTGTAATTAAGTAGATTTCACTTTAGTCACCAGTGAAATACCGGTTCCATCTTTCTTGTATATTGACTGTCATACAATCAGCTAATTTTTAACTTAAAATGGTCCTTTCTTTTGACATCAAGATCTTCACTAGCAAACAGTAGTCTCTTGGCAGAATTTATAAGAAATTTGAATGTGCTTCCTGACCTTTACAGTAATATCTCTCCTCGTGCTGAGTATCTCTAGGATTTAAATTTGAAAGATTGATCTTTTGTTATAACTTTCACCCTACTTATGTAATTTTGAGATTTTATTGTATTTATTTAAATTGAAGGTAATTGATTGCCGAATTTGTGGTGATCCACATTCAGTTCTCCGTTTTGCTTTTGTCGAGTTTGCAGATGAGTGTAAGTCTTGTCCTGCAAATCCTACTCTAGTTAAATTCTTCTTAAGACACACAACTTTTTTTTTTTCAACCCATATATTTAATTTTTCATGGAATTTGTGTCTACAGATGGTGCTAGGACTGCTTTAAACCTTGGTGGTACTGTGCTTGGATACTATCCAGTCAGGGTTCTTCCTTCAAAAACTGCCATTCTTCCAGTGAATCCTACATTCCTCCCTAGGGTATGAATACTTTCTGATCCTTTATAGACATAGTTAGAGTTAAAGAAAAATTGTGTTTAGATGTAGTTTTGCCCTTTTGCTGTGTGATAAGAGTTATTTGATTGATTTAGACATTACAACACCTACAGTTGTTCAGCATTGTTGAAAGAACTTGATTTGCACATTTCATGTTTAACATCTGTTTTTTGTTTTGAAGCATGATTTCTCTTATCTACTAGTCTCCCTTTTATGTTTTATTTTTCTCTTTTCAATAAAGTTTTCTTAAAATTTAAAACAGGTTGTAATTTATCGATAATTATAGTTTCTTTGTGTATGTGCTAATTTGAGAGGTACTGATGGTTCAAGATCATGGGTCTATTAAATTATTCCCTTTCTTTTGTAATATGCAGTCAGATGATGAGCGCGAAATGTGTGCCCGGACTGTCTATTGTACAAATATTGATAAAAAGGTATTACTTTTCACGAAATTATAGAACAGATGTTTTTGGTAAAACTATTTTAATTTAGGAATGATTGACCACTCAATTGGTTATCTAGATTCAAAAATGATAATGCGCTTCTTGACTTAATCAGCTATTTTTAATATGTTTGCCAGGAAAATTGTAACATATGCTTCAATGATTTGCATAGATACATATTGGAGTTAAATCTATTGATGCTTTGTTATATTTCTCTCAAATATGAGTGCAGGTTTCTCAAGCTGAGGTGAAGAATTTTTTTGAATCGGCTTGTGGTGAGGTTAGACCAGAAAATAATTGTTTCATGCTTTATGCTGGAATTTATGTGAGAAATGTTGGTTGACATTGCTATTCGATTTTACAGGTTACGCGTCTGAGGCTTTTGGGGGACCATGTGCACTCAACTCGAATTGCTTTTGTGGAATTTGCAATGGTAAGTCTTGACTATCCCAGTCTATGCTCTATTAATTGGCTACACTACATTTTCACTGTTTATGAGAATGAATAAATAACTACATCATGAACTACTTATTCAATCTATGTTGATCATTTTATGGATTCTATATGCTTCTTCTTCATGGAAACTGTAACTATTTTATAATTTTTTTCCTTCACAATTTGTTTCTATGCATTTTGAGCCCCATTGTATTTTCCAATGGATAATTTCTTTCAAGCTATGCACCAGTATTTCTGTTATCCATTGCTGCACAGAAACACTGGTGAAATTTCATCCAGTGCCCCTCCTAGGTCTCCTTGTTCTTTCTTCTTGAAGCATATAGTTATTAACTAATTTGGGACTTTACAAATCCTGATGGTGTTAGTATAAGGAAGCATGAATTAAGATTTTTATTTTCTTAAATAGAAGATAGTTTGGGTGACCTATGGAATCATCAAATTTTTTTCTCCTGTTTTATGAAACTTGACACAAGAACATTTACATGTGGCACTATTAAAGATTTTAATAATTTTTTTTTGGTGATGTGCTGCAATTGGCATTTATTATGTTAATTTGCACAAGAGGAACCATTATCTTGACTGGCTATTTCTTTCTTCTTGTGTAGGCTGAGAGTGCCATTATTGCACTTAACTGTAGTGGGATGCTCTTGGGAACCCAGCCTATAAGGTTTGATGCCTTTACTGAATCATAGTTTTTGTTTAATGCAAGTTTCGACTAAAACTAGTTAAGTCATTTGATTTTCCTTCTAATTCTGTAGGGTAAGTCCTTCGAAGACTCCGGTGAGGCCAAGGGTCACTCGCCCGGCATCTCATTAACTGATCAACATGGTCCAAGACTTGAGAGAGTGGATATTTGATCAACTTTCCAGTTGAGACTTGTGTAGAAGGGGTGGTGAAACTTCCCTTGTTTCAGTATTTCCATCTTTTTCTGTTAACAGCAGTTACTTTTTGTTGCCAGAGCTTTTAAGTATTCTGCTCTAGTTAAACTTTCTAGCAACCAATCTTGATCTTAAAAATATTTTACCGTGTTTACATTGAAATGGTCTAGTTTCAGTTTTTTTGTTACTTGGAGCGAGGACTAGTTGGACTTTAATTAGCTCGAGTCTTTTAAGAGTACTCATTATCGTATAGGTGGAATTCTCCACCCAGTTAGTTACTTTTAAGGCACAATCGTTACTCATTTCAATAACTTCACAACACCATTAACTAATAATGCATATTTAACTAGTGCCACAAGTACATAGCCATAATTGTATGCAATTACATCAATTTATTCTCAACAGAGACAATCATATTTATATTTATATACATATACATAACCATATAAAATGACTACTGGTTAAATAAGCTTTTCAAGTAGTTAATAATATTGAGATTATTATAACGATTAATGGTGGTTAACTGTGCTAGATGGGCTATATGGGTGGATATTTTCAGAATGATCATTTTGCAATAATTAGCACCATTACGATCCTACATTTGTGAGTGAAGTATATTTAGCATCTAAATAATTTGAAATTATTATGATTTTCAAATGATAATAACATAAGTTAACATTTTTTATTTGCAAATGGATAATTTTGTATATAATTTTTTTTAATGTGTGTGTATTCTACTTAAATTCTTACAAATCATGACTGATGTCTGCTGCTGTCCCATCATAGTTTGTGATTCTTATTAAATACCTTAGCATTGGTTGATGGCTATGTGGTTTAAACAATTTGGAATGTATCATTGCTTAATGTACTTTATTTGGGAGATCTAAACCTCAACAAACTTATGATTAGGTAGCATCTCTCTCTTTGAGAATATGGGTACATATGCAGATTTGGCTGGACCAGTAAAACAATGGTTGTAGAACTACTACGTTTTTGCGACATATCAAGCAGAAGGAAGGTCCCCTCCAGAACACGCATAAATATCTGATTCTAAAAATAACACCTCTTTTTTATCATCAATTTTTATTTTAATCTAAGATGCAAAGCATCAATCCTTGTGTGATATCTATGTTGCAGTGTGGTTCCTTTTGGCAGGGTCCTCCATCTTTGATTCCCACTAAAGCTAGAATTGATTCTAATATCTAAATGCTTTTTGGAAACTTTAGGATGCAAATGGATAAATGAGCTGTATTATTTAAAACTTTAGATATTAAAACATGTCATTGTAAAGGTTGTTGTAGTGAGTATCTGATTATTGTCGAATGTATCCAATTAATTTGTTGAACGAAATTTAATATTTTGGGGGAGAGTGCATTATCGTAGCTGGTATTTATTTACTTAAAAGAGTAAGAACACTTTTTGTTTTAGAAAGTATGTTATATTCTTTAGCAAATTCAATGACATTTAACAACTCATTGATTTAAGTAGAGTTAGACACGATATTCTTTAGGTTTTCCATTCAAGTTTCTTATTAAAAGATTGTTATTTAAGATAAGTCTTAAGTAAAACTGAATGAATATCGTGTATTTAATAATGTCTCCTTCTTACTTAAAATCTCAAATTATTTAAACTTCTTGTCGTAAGGATAATTTTAGTGGTATTATGAATGAATTGTGAGATAGAGATAATAATTAGTTTGTTTAAATTTAAAAATAATTTTTTTAAGTAAATATATATTTTTAAAATAATTCTTTAAGAAGTAAATAAAATGTTTCTTAAAAAGGCAGAAAATAGATAAACACAACAAAAAAAAAAGAGTAAAAAAAGTGCTTATTTATATTAAAAGGAGACATTTTTATATAAAAAAAAAAGTTTAAACAAATAAATCCAATATTTATTTTTCGTAATTATATTATTGATATTATTTAGATGGAAATAATACTGTAAACAAGTTAAAGAAATCTTCTAACCTAGTAAGGAGATAAAACCAAGTGCGTGTTTATTCTGGAGGAATTTCAACTTTATGAGAAATTTTAAAATATAAATTTATTATTTTCTAAATATATTTTGTACTAAGCATATAATAAAATATGTAAATTTTCATTTATCATGTAAATAAAAGTTAGAGTGTTAGTCTACATTTTATTTGCGGTTATTTATAGGGTAGAATGATACTTTCTTTGGACTTGTATATAAGTAAAAAAACTTAATTTTGTATATATATAAAAAAAAATAGTTAAATGTATTTAATTTTCATGATTTCATATAAAAGATATACTATATTTATTAAAATATTATGTAAATAGTGATATCAATTATTATCTTAAAAATATTTTTAGATTTTAAACATTAAATAAAGTTGACTCAGTTATAATTTATTTATATTTAAAATTAAAAATTTTAAGTATGTTTTTGAATATATATATATATATATATATATATATATA